CACACACACACACACACACACACACACACACACACACACACACACACCAGGTGTGTGCCTGTACTCCCAGTGCTCAGGAGGCAGGCTGAATAATTGCCCCAGTGTGAGGCCAGCCTGCTGCTGCTTCTTCCTTCCTCCCTTCCTTCCTTCCTTCCCCCCTCCCTCTCTCCCTTCCTTCCTTTTCCAGACAGGGTTTCTCAGTGTAGTCTTGGCTGTCCTGGACTTGCTTTGTAGGCCAGGCTGGTCTCGAACTTACAGCCATCCACCTGCCTCTGCCTCCCATGTGCTGGGATTACAGGCGTGTGACACCACTGCCTGGTTGACAGTGGTTTCTTGAATATGATACCCCAAGCTCAGGAAATGAAAGGAAAATATGTAACTCGGTCTGCATATTTTAAATAATCATAATTTAAAACTTTAGCACATTAAAAGATGCCGCAGCAATGGCGAGGCAACCCTGAGTGTGGAAGAAGATACATGCATAATGGAAGACTGTAGCCTTGGCCGTACAAGGGGCTTCACAGTGCAGCAAAACCCACACACGACCTGATTGTAAAATGACGACAAATGGCCAAGAAGCGCAGGAAATTCCCAGGCTTTGTGTGATGACCTAAATGTAGTACCTGGAAGGCCAAGGCAGGAAAAGTGTTCTGAGATTGAGGCCAGTCTAGTCTGCAGAGTGAACTTCTCCCCCAAAACACCAAACCACGAAGGCACAAAGAGATGCCAGTTCTTACTTCACAGCTGTTAGTGTGGCTGTTAAAACAAGAGATAATAAATGTTAACAAAGATGGAGCCATTGGAACATTTTTGCACTGATAAATAGGTGTTTAAAATGGGACAATCTATATGTAACAGAATAAGAGGTCTGTAAAACAAACAGTTCGGAAGTTCTACTTCTGGGCATATACCTGAAATAATGAAAGTCAGGGACTCTGACAGGTATTTATATTCATAGGAACAGAGTTTGTAGTATCCAGTTAAGGAAAGTAGCACTGCTTTTCATTGATGGATGTACAGAATTCCGTTTATGAGCTAATATCCGACTTTACAAATGAAATAATAGCAAGTACTTACACAGAGAGAAACTGGAATGGTGATTGCCAAGCGCTGAAAGAGAGATAGTGGTGAGTTAAGTATAAAGTTTCAGTTTGACAAAATTTTAGAGGTTGGTGGTAAGGATTACATAATGAGAGCCAACACTTAATGCTCCTGAACCGTATACACTTTATATAGTTAGGTTCTGGGCTGCCTCGTAACTGTTGTGTCTTTCAATGTGGGAAGAGTTATTTTTGCAAATTGCTCAGGATATATATGTTTTGTTTTGTTTTGTTTTTTAAACTTCTGCCTCTGGGTGATGGAGGTGTTCATTTGTGTATGATATTGTGTGTTCATCATTATAGGCTAAATCCAAGAGAAACTTCCTAATCAACTGTTTGAGGGTGGAATGGGGACTAGCAAGAAGGGGGAGGAGGACAAGAGAGCCAAAGGGATGACTGAGAACAGTACAAGATAGACATAAATGAAAAGATAATAAAACCTATTATTTTGCACACTAAACCTTTATAATTAAAAAAAAAAAAGCTAGATAATAGTGATTGTACACCTGTAAGCCCACCACTCCAGAGGCTGTTGAACGAGGATCCTGAGTTCAAGGTCGTCTTAGACAGCACAATGACGGTGGACGGGAGAGAGAGGCTATGTACAGGATACCTGAAAGAGTGAGAAATGGTAAAAGCTTGTCCCTCTCTTTTCCTCTTAGGATATTTTCCTTCCTGGACGTTGTCACCCTGTGTCGCTGTGCTCAAGTCTCCAGGGTAAGACGCGGTTACAGGGGACAGTTTTCTGCCGCCAGCCTCTGTAGACTGCTGTTGTTTTAGGTGTTACTTGTATATTTTACAGAAGCTGTTATTTCCCTTGGAGAACCCCGTTGGTGCCAAACATTTGGACCATCTAAGCAGAAGGGTGCTTTACGTTGAAAGCATTAACTCTACTAATTAAGGAAATCATATTTTGCTATTTTTATAGTTCATTTTATATCCACACAAAGATGTACTAAAGGCTCTTGAGCATCTAATTCCCATGTTATCTCCACATAGTCTAGCCTTTACTTAAGAAATGACAGGAGGGGAAGAGAAAGCTGTGGGGTAGACCAGTACTCATGAAGATCCCATAAAGTACAGTTTCCTTGTCGGGTGGGCCAAGTGTGTTTTCAAGCCACCAATATAACTGCTCCTGCCACTGTCCTCAGAAAACCAAAGACCTTCGTGTAGAAATGTCCCCTTTATGGTAATTTTAAAGTAATTTCTCCATCCTAAATTTTACGATTATTTGCACATCCACCATATTGGAAACAGTGAGCAGTGTTGTGGTTTCTTTATGCTGTTTTTTCCCCAATAACTGTATGGTCTTTTAAGTGCAAGCATCCTTCCTTACAAGTCAGCACATTTTTCTCTCTGACTCCATGTAAACTGAAATCATCCAGGGCTGTTCACAAGTGAGCCTTAATTGTAGTTTTCCCTTAAGAAAGGGAGGGAACTGTGCCAGATCTCATTAATCTGGAGCGTTGGTGCCTTGGTATTCTGTTGTGTTAATACGGATTGTATTGGGAGGGAAACAGTGCCTGGTGTGTGCTGGGTCGGGCCGACACTGAGCCACCCTGCTAACACTTTGAGGGTTTTTTCTTTTGTTTTGTTTTTTAATGCAGACACTAGGGAGGAACCTGTCGTTTCTAATTTTAGGCTGAGTTGAGTGTGTTTCCTGCTCAGGGAAGAACCTGGCAAGGACTAGCACACAATCAAAGATAGATTTAGCCCAGGAATCTCTTAACCATGTGGTTTGTAAGAGTTTTATTTGTTACTTCCCATGGCTATTAAAAAAAAAAAAGAAAGAAAGAAAAAAGAAGAAAAGACAAAAAGCAAACAAACAAAGCACTAGGAAAACCAGAAGCCACAAGGGAAAAGTAACATTGACCACGTGAGACACTTATTAGAGTCACTGCTTGCTCATCCTCACACCCTGACATGTTTCTTGCTGATCATATGACAGTTGCCCTTGGGTTTCTCAGAATTTGGTTTTGGAAATTTTGGAGAAAAGTGAGACATGCCCCCCCCCCCCCCCAGCCCTTAATCCCAACATTTGGGAGGCAGAGGCTGAGGGCTGTGCAGTGAGACCATGTCTCAAAGAACATTGTTTTTCAGGGAAGTGGCTGTCAGTATAGCCTTCGTTAAATTGCTTTTTAAATTTGTTGTGATAAAGAACACTCTAGAGCCGGATACGGTGGCTCCTGCCTTTAATCCTGGCACTGAGCATCTTGGATTTGAGGACACTGAGCTACACAGTACTACCTTGTCTCAGACACACACAATAGACTGTACATTGAACAACACGTGACTTTCATTTCTTAATTAGGTGAACTTTCAAGGGCTTTAAAATACCAAATGATGCACAGCAAATCAGCTCCTACTGAACTCACCCAGTCCTGAATGTTGAAAAACTTAACAAATTTTCTTGCTGCCTCCAGTTTATTGAAGAGACGTCTTAAACAGTTTTAAGTTTGCAGTTTTAAAATTGCCACTGAGTCCTGGTCCTGGCATCCTAGGACTGTTGAGGCTGAAGCAGGAGATCAAGAGTTGGAGGTCGACCCTGCCTGCACAGTAAGACCTTTCCTAAAACAAACAGCTCGGGCTGCAGCTCAGTGGTAGAATGCTTGCCTAGCATGTACAAGGCCCGGCCTTGATCCCCAGTGAGACAAACAATAAGATAACAATTGTCGCTGAGTCAGATCGGACAGAATATTGATTGATGACGAGTCATAGCCGAGTGAGCGCACTGACACTAGGAAAACACTGTCAGTGGACAATGGTGCGCCAGTCTCGCCTCGGCCACCGCCCCCGTGCCGCACCACCGCGCAGCAGGTTGCTCGGAGATGGTGGTGGGCACTGAGGACATTTTTGCCCAGCCTCAATTATTGGTTGGTTGAATTGTGAATTTAAATATTACTGTTTCTGTTTTCATTTCAACCTCTGCTCATTCTGTTCTCTCTTTCTATTCAAAATAGGCCTGGAATGTCCTAGCTCTGGATGGCAGTAACTGGCAACGAATTGACCTGTTTGATTTCCAGAGGGATATTGAGGTATAATTATGTGGTGTGTGGTCCCATCTATTTCATTAGTAGTTGCAGCATTCATGCAAGCCATATGTAAATTTTCCACTGAAGAAGTTACTAATTTTGGTACAGCTGAACTTCATGGAAGACCCAGTGTTCTCAGAGAAGATTTTCTTAGCTAGGCATGGTGGCACCAGCCTTTACTCTCAGTAGAATGAAGCAAACCAGTGCGAGACCCTGTAACCAGCCTGGCTACACAGTGAGACCCCGGCTCAGAACAAAACCATGAACACAACAACAAAGTGCTTCTCCGGGTTTGCGAAGCAGGAACTAGGACTCAGGCCTTACACACGCTAGGCTGCGCTGCGCTCTCCACTGGCCTGCCTCTCTACCCCTCATTTCCTTTAGTTTTTGAGGTTAAGAGGAATTAGCTCCCTGAAATAACACTAAATTCTTTAATGACATTAATCCTGAACTGAGACCAGAGCTTTTATTTTGTAGTATTTGTGTTTGCTCATGTAACGTAAGTTGTTTTATATTTGTTTATTATATAGTAAGTAGGTTTAAACTTGCTGGAATAGTATTTGTGTTTATTTTTGGTGTGTGTTTTGATTCTTTGGGGAACAAAAATGGAGATAATTTTATGGAAAATGAAGAATGGAAAAACTGGAATTACTAAATTGTTTTTACTACTGAGCAGCAATTTTCTTGGGGGGGGGTTTCTTTTTTTGTCCTCATTTAATCTGTCGGTGTAGCCGGGTCTCTCTAAATAGAAAAGTGTAATAAAAGCGTGCATCTGGGCACGCCCGCTCCTGTAACCCCGCACAGAGCTCGAGACCAGGAGAAGGAAGTGCAAGGTCAGGGACTGATAAAGTCCTCGCCAGATAAGCATGAGGACCTGAGTTCAGATCCCAGACCTACGTATGAGTGAGGAGTGGAGGTACCCCTGGAACCGCAGAACTGAGGGAGGCAGATGGAGGCAGATGTTTCCTAGAAGCTCACTGGCCAGCCAGTCCACTCTAGTGGAAGCTCTAGGTTCAGAGAGAAGCCCTGTGTTTAAAAAAAGAAGAGGAGGAGGTCGGGGAGAAGGTGCAGCTAGAGAAGACACCCGACCACAGCCTCTTGCCGCTGTGGCATCGTCAGGCACGTACACAGGAAAGTTCAAGGTCATCCGCAGCTACATAGTAATCATGCTAGCCTTGGATTCAGGAGATGTGTCTCAAAATTAACAAAAATAGAGCCAAAGAAATGGCTCAGCAGTTGAGAGCACTGGCTGCTCTTCTAGCGGACCCGGGTATGATTCCCAGCATCCATGTGGCGGCTCACAAACCTCTGTAACTCCAGTTTCAAGAAACCAGGCTTCCTGCTCTGGCCTCCAGGCTCTGCATACATGTAGCACACAGGCATGCGTGCAGCAAGAGCAACCATGCGCTTAAAAATAAAAGTTTAAAAACCTCACTAATATTATGCTGCATTTATCCCACAATTCTGTCATCTCGTAGATATATGTACTCCATTACTCATAAGTTTATTCAGCAAGATGGTAAGCACTCATTGAGTTCCTGCTATGTGCGGATTATTATAGTAAGTTCTTTTTTAAAGGGCACAAAAGTAAATGTGGAAGGTTATGTCTTCCGTAGCTGGTTAATCCAGGTGAAGCCTATACATGGACATAAGAGTTTTATAGGAACTAGACAGTACCATTTCTAAAATACAGGCTATCCTATAAATTAAAGAAGGAATATAGACTATAGTAGTGTTTTGAGTAGATGGATTAATCAGAAAGGCTGTCTCAGATTAAGCTGTAATTTTTTTAGAATTTTCTTACTTAAAAGTTTTTCTCTCTGTTTATGAATTGTTTTTAAAATGAGGATGTATTCTTCTCACCAGCAACATAGGCTGTCTTTTGCTTAACTGTTTCTATAGGGCCGGGTAGTGGAAAATATTTCAAAACGATGTGGAGGCTTTTTACGGAAGTTAAGTCTTCGTGGGTGTCTCGGAGTAGGAGACAATGCATTAAGGTAAGAAAAAAAATAACTTTTAATCTCTTAGATTGACGTAAAGAACAATACAGTACCATATCACTCAGAAAACGCTAAACACTAAAGTATTTTTTTTTGTTGGTGGTGGTGGTGTTGGGTCTTTTTTATTTTTGGTTTTGTTTTGAAACAGGGTTTCTTTGTGTAACCCCTGGCTGTCATGGACTCCCATTTGTAGACCAGGCTGTCCTTGAACTCACAGAGATCTGCCTGCCTCTGCCTCCTGAGCACTGAGATCACAGGGATGCATCAGCACATTCAGCTGAAGCTTTTAAATTTCCGAGCTGTTAAAAATGCAATCATATGCATTGGTTATAGCAAAAATATCCAGTAGGAAGTGGGGCCCGGGGCATGGGAACATACCCTGATAATCCTACTGTGCAGCAAGTTCAGGAAGGACACTGAGTCAGCCTGGGCTACATCGCAGGTACAATAGAAAAGCGATGAGGTTTCAAAATGCTCCATAGTAAAGTAGTTTTCTGCAGACCTTGAGTAAGTTGGTTTTTAGACTTTTGCTAACTCAAAGATAAATTCATTTTCAGCTTTGTTGACACAAAAATAGTGTTTGATCCCAGAAATTGAGAGGTTAAGACAGTGTTACAAGTTCAGGGTCAACCAGGGCTAAGCAGTGAGACCCTCCTGCGAACTAAAAGAAAATGTTGACAGCTTTAAAACAAAACAGTTAGTGGAGCTGGCTGTGGTGGTTCATGCCTTTAGTCTCAGAGGCAGGCAGATCTGTGAATTTATGGCTGGCCTGCTCTACAGAGTGAGATCCAGACAGCCTCTGCTACACAGAGAAACCCTGTCCTGAAAAACCAAGAATAAGAAAAAAAGAACAGTTTGTAGGAAATTTCTTTAGGCACACCAGCTGCTTTGTGCCCTGTTGAATTTACACCTCACACAACAGATAGCTAAGTTTGTTTTTCTTCCTCCCAACAGCCAGTTCTTTGATTTCTCAGATACTGGCTGGGTATTTCCACTCACTGCCGACAGTAGCTGTCCAAAGTTAGCTCAGACCCTGCAGGCTGCCAGCTCAGTCCCAGTAGCCAGCCCTGTACTTCAGGTGGTGCTTGCAGCTCCTACATTACTCTGCACTTCTGTGGACGACCCATGCACTCAGGCGTTACCATGGCTGCTTCCCCAAACGGTCAGGAAAGAGCTGTAGCTACTGTTAACATCAGTATAAAGCACATGAGTAACTAACTAGAGCAAGTGCTCGACACGGCAAGGTTTAGAAGTGTCTGGACAGGAGCCCTGTCCTTGTGGAGTTGGCATGCCGCCCTCCCAGCACACCAACCCGGAAGCTCTGGTCCCATTGTTCCGGGGTTTTTATGGAGGTTATATTACAAAGACCAAATATGAGGACAAGTGATACTCCTGTCACCTGTTACTCAGGAAATTACAAGGTCTTGGAATCACTGTCCTGGAAACCAGGTTGAAAACCAAATATGTATTTTTCATATTATGGCATTACATGCATTATGGCGTTATATGTCATAACATGGCCAGTATTACTTTATGCCTTTTTATATCTAAAATCTTGCCAAAGTTATTTATAAACTTTAACTTTCTTTCCCTCCATAAAGGACGTTTGCACAAAACTGTAGGAATATTGAAGTACTGAGTCTCAATGGATGTACAAAGACAACAGATGCGTGAGTATTGGGTTTGGGAGGATATATGCAGTCCATAGTCTGGCCTGCTCTAGCCTTGACTGCAGGTTACTGAGAACACTGAATTGTTGTCTTGCTTCTGTGAATGATTTTTTTCTCTGTCTTACGGTGCTAGAGGTGAGCCCAGGCCTTTGTGCTGTATTTCTGAGCTACATCCCCAGTTTCAGAAGAAAAACCTTAAAAAGGAAGAAGTGGTGGTGGCACATGCCTTTAATCCTAGCACTCTGGAGGCAGAGTCAGGCAAATCTGAGTTCAAGGCCAGCCGGTCTAAAGATGCGTCCAGAGCAGCCAGGGCTACACAGAGAAACCTTGTCTCGAGGGAAAAAAAAAACCTGTAGCTAATGTATATACTGTAGGGCTGATAATCAAAAGCCACATGATAGATAATTCTATAAAGTGATTAAAATCTTAACCACAAATGTAAATGGCTAATGCGATTAAAGGAAAATGACTGTGCCTCTCATAATAAAAAAGAAGTTAACAATCCTTCGTCTTTGAGAATCTTACAGTCAGGCATGAGCTACACAAGTTCATATCAAGAGTATCCATTGGTAGAAATGCAAATCAAGTGACATTTAAACACTTAGATCATAGTCCAGAATAGACCATAGGCAGGGGACTAAAGAAGCCTCATAAATTAAGACTGAAACAATTAGCTGAGTGTTCTCTCTTTGTTATTACAGAACAAATAAAGGTCTTCAGAAGAAGATCTAAGAAAAGACTGGGCAACTTAAAAGTTAAATAAGTTAAAGACTTTTTTTTTTAAATCTTTTGAGCTGATTGGAAATAAGATAGCCAGGCATGATGATTCATACCTATAGTCTCTGCATTTAGGAAGCTGAGGCATGACTATTGCCTGGAGTTTGAGGCCCAGCTTGGGCTACAGTGTTGCCCAGCTTGTAGGAGCCTATGAGTCCATCTCAAAGAGCAACAAAATAAAAAAGATACCAACTAAATACAGTTTTCATATATCAGAAAAGGATCTTCATTTTCTTATAAGGAATAAGCATAAAAACATAAAACCAAGCTAGGCATGATAGTACACACCTTAATCTCAGCACATAGGAAGAGTTAGAGGTCTGGTCTAGAGCCTGGTCTAGGTAGTGAGTTCCAAGACAGCCGGAGAGACCCTGTTTGGGGAATTAAAAAAAAAAAAAAAAAGCCATTCTTAGTTTGTGGGCAGTCTTAGGAGACTCCAAGGAGGCATCCTGCTAAAATACCTGAATTACTGACCCAAAACTGAGATAAATACTATTTTAAGTTGAATAATTTTAGGAAATTTTCCCAGTTTGATTCATGCGTAAAAATCTTGCCATGCCTGATGAAGGAGTCCACGTAACTCACAGGAGGCTGAGACAGGAGAATGGAAAGTTCAGGTTTTTCTTAAGCTATAGAGTGAGCTCAGGGTTAGCATGGGCAACTCATAGGTACCTCGTCACACACATAAAAAATGTCTAGAACTACAGAGACATAAGTCAGTGTTAGCGCACTGGCCTATCACGTGTTTGGCCCTTAGTTTAATCCCCAGGGCTATGAAAGAAAAGAAGACTGTGCTGTTGTGTTTCTGCTGAGTAGGCACATACTAGCCTGTAACATTTTACTGGGTGGTGAAAGACTTCTTTCCTTCTTAAGCTACTTTGGGGGCAGGGCTGGGAGTAGGGCAGGTAGAATGCCTCAGGTAGTAAACCAGGGTCTGTGCTTTCATCACTGCTGCTTGTCACATGGCATTGGAGCTTCTAGCCAGTTGCAGTAAGTGTTGAGGGGTTTTGTTTTAATATATTTTGGACAGATGGAACATAAATAAGCAAACAAACAGTGAAGTAAAACTTTATTTGCAGTGAGTAGTCCTACAAATCTGTTCATATAGAATCATAAACTCGGGCTGAAGAAGGCTCAGCAGAGAAGAAAGTGCTGCTGGGGGCTTGGTTCACCTCCACGAAATCTGATGCCTCTGGCCTCCAAGCTCCTGTACTTAGGTGCAAATAACTTTCTGCTTTTGTCTGCCTGCCTGCCTGTTTCTTCTGTCTCTTGTGTGGGTGTCTCTCTCACACATACACAAAAACAATTGTTTTAACTTAAAAACAAAGTTATAAGCCAATTCAGAGGTGGTTGTCTACACCTGTAATCCTAGCACTTGGAGAGCCAAAGATAAAAATTGGATCAGGAGTTCTGCAGAGGGAGTTCGGGACAGCCAGGGCAGCACAGAGAAGCACTATCTCAAAACTGCATGCTGTAGTACATTTGTGCCTGCACTCAGTAATTGCACACCAAATAATAATAATAATATCATCTTTGGCAGGACCTGGTGGCCCACACCATTAGTCCTAGCACGCAGGAGACAGAGACAGGCAAATCTCTTGAGTTTGAGACCAGCCTGGTCTACATAATGAGTTCCAGGTTAGCCATGACTATGTAGTGAGCCCCTGCCTAAAAAAAACAAAACTACATAGTAATTCTCTGAATGGAAGATCAATATTAAAACAAATTCTGTTTCTGTATGTTAGTAATACAATGAAAAATGAAATTTAAGAAAAGTTTCAAGCCAGTAATTACGAAGCATGCTTGTATTCTTGGCACTCAGGAAATCAAGACCATCCTTGGTTATGTAGTGAGTTTGAGGCCAGCCTGTGCTACATGAGACCCTGCTGTCTCTAGGAAAAAAACAAAACAGGGAGCTAGTTTGGTCAGTACACTAAGTACCGACACCTGAGCTCAGTTTCTCAGAACCCACACTAAAAAGCTAGGCTTGGCGGCAGGCACTTTTAACCCAGCCCTGTGGGAGAAGGGACAGATCCCTGGAACTTGGTGGCCTGCCGGCCTAGTCCCCTGGGTAAGCTCTGGGACAGTGAGAAATCTTGCGTCAAGAAAGGCATCTAAAGACCAGGACCCACGTTTTGTGGGCTCCACACTTGTGCATGGGCACATGAAGTCCTCCCTTACCATCGACCTCAGGAGTCAGTGTTTATAGATGCATGCAGCAAAGGAAGTACAAGATCTCTACACAGAGAACTACCAAAGTCACTAAGAGAAAGTCAGAGCAGCTTAAAATGGTGGAAGGGTTCAGGCTCGTTTGGAATACACATTGGCAAGATGGCAGGCAATCTAAACTATAAGTTCCTTGCAATTCCCATCAAAATCTCACCAGGCTTTTTTCTTTTTTTTCTTTTCTTTTCTTTGTGTGTGTGTTTTGTTTGTTTCTTTGTTTGTTTTGATGTTTCAAGACAGGGTTTCTCTGTGTAGCCCTGCCTGTCTTGGAACTCACTTTGTTGACTAGGCTGGTTTAGAACCCTCAGACATCCTTCTACCTCTGCCTCCCCGGTGCTGGGATTAAAGCCATGCACCACCACCATCCTGCTGACTTTTTTCTTTTTTTAAAACTAAACAACGACTTGAGTTTTTATGGCAACACGGTAAACAAAACTGTTGAAAAGAGAGACCATTAGAGAAGTCAGCTCCCCAGTTGAGCCTGGTGCTGAGCATGACATGATCCCTGCAAGGGATGCTGACTCGGGAGCTGGACTTCCAGTCTAAGACTGTCTCAAAGCAAACAAGTAACAAAACAGGAGGAGAACAGAATAAGAATAGACTGTTGGAGACTGAAACTTTGATTCTAAGAAATTCTCAGCACTATTGTGCTGCATGGGCTTGAAGACCGAGACAGGAGAATTATGTTAGTCAAGGCTAACCTGGACTACAGAATAAGACCTTGCCTCAGAAAAAATTTTCTCTGCGTTCCCAATTCTGGCCCATCCTCTTTCTTTCTGTGCTGATAGTGCACCCGCAGACGTGGTGATATTTCCTAAAACCCACATGACACTCTGTAAGAAATATGGCAGGCACCAGCCCCATGAAGTGGCAGGGTACCAGGACAAGGATTCTCTGTATGGCCAGGGAAAGCAGCATCATGTTAGGGCAAACAGCCTGTTTTTCCACAAAAAGAAACTTGTGCTGAGGCCAGGGTATGTTGAACCAACTAGAGCTCTAAGAAGATTGTGTCTTTTAAAAGATGCAAGCTTGCCAGGTGATGATGGCGCACACCTTTAATCCCAGCGCTTGGGAGGCAGAGGCAAGTGGATCTCTGTGAGTTTGAGGCCAGCCTGGTCTACAGGTGAGTTCTAGGACAGGCAGGGCTATGTCGAGAAACACGGTCTCAAAAGACAAACAGAACAAGATGCGAGCATCTGATCCAGTTCCAAGCCAGTCTTACTATAAAGACAATCTCGTGAGCGTGTATTTACTTTTATGGGTGTTTTGCTTGTGTGTATGGCTGTGTACCACAAGCCTGGTGCCAGTGGAGGCCAGAAGAATGCGTCAGATCCCCTGGAACTGATATTACAGACTTTGTTAGTGGGTGCTGGGAATTGAACCCAGGTGCTCTAGAAGAACAGGCAGTGCTTTCAACTGCTGAGTCATTTCTCCAGTCCTGAGATTATATTTTTACAAAATTCATGGGCTCAGCATGGCTGTGCAAGCCTGATGACTTGAGTTTGAACTCCAGAAACCATGGTGGAAAGAGAAAACCAACTAATGAAAGTTGTCCTCTGACCTGTACGTACGGGCTGTAGGGTACACAGCATACACGTTGGCACATGTATGCACAGTCACCTACGTCATATGTGCACATAATAATAAGTGGAATTTTCAAATCAGAGATAGTCATTTAGGGGATAGGGAACACCCCCACAGTGAGGGGTTGTCTAGCCTATGTAAGATCTGGGCTTGGTCCCCAGAACCACACACACAAAGGTCAGAAGACAGTGCAGGAATGCTATAATGTCTTGGTTGCCTCACAATCCAAATCCTTCCTTTATATATCCTGCCGAAGTCCAGACCTTTCATTGCTGCTCTGCAAAGAGTTTTCCTGAATAAAAGGTTGAGTGAAAAACAGAAGTACAGTTTTGCGGTTTGTGGAGCGAACGTAGCCTCTTAGCCTCACTCACACACTTAGCGTCCTGTCCCCTGCTCACAGTGTTTCCGAATGTAAGTCAAACACCATCATCTTGGTGCAGATTATACACAGCACGGCTTTGCTTTTGCTTTGTAAAATGATTGCTATCTGCCTTTTCCTCTTCAGTAAGATACTAGGGTTTATAAGTGCCTTTGTGTGCTATGAGAATTTGACGGTTCTGATATACACGTGTGTGTTCATTGAGAGGGTGTGTGGTTCGGTAGGCACTTGAGATACATAGGCAGGTTGTTGGCTTCCATCTCTATCATCAAGTGCCTTACTTAAATTTTATTTTAATGTGTCTGGGATACTGCCCACGATTGCTACCGCACACGTGAGATCAGAAGACAGCTCTTGAGAAGGGCTTCCGTGGGCCGTAGGGGCTTTTCTCTGCCAAGCCATCTCAGTGCCTAGATATGTTCTTGTTGTAAATGTGTGTTCATTATTTCTTCTCTCTCTTTGCAGTACCTGTACTAGCCTTAGCAAGTTCTGCTCCAAACTCAGGCACCTTGACTTGGCTTCCTGTACATCAATAACAAACATGTCTCTCAAAGCACTGAGGTAAATGTCTCATAATAGTATGCCCGTGAATGCATACCTGATAATACAGGTAGAATTGAAGACAGCGATGTTTTACAGTTGTATCCTATAGTTCCCAGCAGGACCTCTTTCCTTGTCCCTGTTCACATTAAAATCAACAGGCTTTATTAATGTGAAGTGTCCAGAGATAACTAGTATTTTGAACACAGTAGTATGGGTTATCCTTAAATGGTTAGATAAAAGATTTCTGAAAAGAAAATGCCATATGTTGTTACAGCTTAGCGGTTAAAATGGAGTCTGGACCAGGTTATCTGAACACTGCCCTAAGAGCTTTTCTTTGTAATTGTGTAGCGCTGTTACCAGGACTACATCAGTACCATCAGCCTGCACTGCAGAAAATTGTGCCTGTTTCCAACAGTTTTTGGGTTGAATACCTTCATGTGCTTTAACCTAACATGTTGTCCTTTGTCTCAGGGTTTTCATATTTAAGCTCGTTAAAGCTACAGGTTGCTCACACCAATAATCCCAGCCCTTGGAAGGCTAGGGCAAGAGGATCATTAGTTCAAGGCCAGCCTGTACTTAATAGTGAGCAGAGTCCAGAAGAGAGACAGTACGTTATAAAAGGTTTTTTATTTTCTCCGTACCTGACTCTTCGGCTGCTCACATGCTAAGCAAGTGATGTCATCAAAATTAATGCCCAGCTTCACTTTTTCTCCCCTTTCTCATTTTGTTTGTTTAAAAGACAGAGTCTCACTCTGAACTCACTGTGTAGACAAAGCTGACCTCAAACTCAGAGATACACCTGTCTCTGCCTCCAGGGGTCTCTGGGTTTTTTGGTTTTGGTTTTTTGTTGTTGTTGTTGTTGTTTTGGTTTTTTTGTTTGATTTTGTTTGGTTTGGTTGATTGGTTTTTGTCTTTTACTTTTTAGATAGTGTAGACCAGCTGGCCTTGAACTTACTCTATAGTCGAGGAAGGCATTGAATTTATGATCCTCCTGTCTCAGCCTTTCAAGTAGCTGGGATTATAAAGTGCTGCCAGGCCCAACTTAGGAAAAGAAAAAATTACAACAGCATGTCATATATTCCAGCTGGCCTTGAACTCACTTTTCAGATGTGGATGACCTTGAACTTGAGAAACTCCTGCCTTCAGTTACCAAATAAAATGTATTTTAAACGAGTGAAATACTCACTGCCTTTGGAAGTCTGCTTTTTAACTAGGCTTTCCTGAATAATTAGGCCACTGCGTGTTAGTTCTGCTTACATACATTAAGAACTAGGCTACCAGTTTAATTGTTAAGATTATGGTGCTACGTAGTAATCCCAGCGTTAAGGCAGACGGAGGCAAGAGCAGTGCTGCAAGCTCAGGCCCAGCCTGGGCCGTGGAGTGTTGAGCCAGGGCCACTTATCAAGACCCTATCTCAGAAGGAAAAAGAGTTGGTGCAAGTGATGTGAAACATGGCTCCTTCTGGAGCTTCATTGTGAGTGCACACTGTGTCTCTATATCTGAACTGCTTGTCTTACAAGGCCATTGATACGGTAACACTTAACATTTATAAGAGACTTTCACACAATTCTCATTTATTCAAAGCTTTAAGCAGTAGATGGGACAAGCATTTACAACTTTTAAAAAATCTAAATGTCTGTAAGGCTCTGGGTACTACTGAAACAGCCATGAGATGTAGATGGTGGAAAACACTTGTAAGCATACGCTGCATTGCTGTGCTAGCTGGTAATAGACCTGAGTGTCTCCATTTGGGTGAACCTGGGACAAATGTGGCTCATCTTGGACTGAGAGGTTCAGAGAAGCCTCTTACCTTCGCTGGAGTCAGATTATTTATGTTGGAGATGAGCTTAAACCTAAATCTAGGCTTTATTTAGGGAGTTTTCTACAGGCAGGATACTGAAAACCACTGGAGCAGTGTTGACAGGGTTAGACAGTGGGAAAGCCAGATAGCACTGAACTAATCAGAGCAGAAAGACTCAAAGGTGAAGCTAGTATAGAGACTGAGCACGATCTGTCCTTACTTGGGCTTGCAGTAACAGTACTCTGGAAATGTCCCAGATAAGGAAATAGACAGATTGTGATTTTTTTTTTTAAATAAAATATTGAATGTATGATAGAACCATGATATTAGTAAAATTCCCTGATGGAAAGTCTGAGCTTGAATCTGAATCTGTTACTCTGTAAATTCAAACTGAATTTAATCTAATTTGCATCAATTAATTTGGTCATTTAATTTCCATTCCCAATCCATATCTGAAAAACAATTATGTGCTCTGTGCTTGTTGGGTAAACTGGATTTAAAATACCCTGCCTGGTGGTTCAATCCTATATGACCACCACAAGAATGAGGCTATGGCGCCTTTAGCATTGGAGGTAGTGATATGCTTGTCTCGTTTTGTTTTATCCTAAGTGAGGGGTGTCCACTGTTGGAGCAGTTGAACATTTCCTGGTGTGACCAAGTGACCAAGGATGGCATTCAAGCACTAGTGAGAGGCTGTGGGGGTCTCAAGGCCTTGTTCTTAAAAGGCTGCACTCAGGTAATACTCCGTGTAGTGCTTGTGAAAGTTAGAGGAACCATGAGCTCTCTGTAGGTATTCCCAGGATGTGTGTCTTGAGCAAAGTGGGAGTTGGAGACACTGCTAACTGAAGACACGTGCTTCCAAAAGTTCCAATGTTTCTCTTAGAATTGAAGAATGGGAAGCATTAATATTTGATCAAAATGTAAGTGAGGGAGAAAGTGGAGGGAAAAGGGGACAAAGTGGAGAGAGTCCAGTTTATCTGTACTGAAAAGAAAGTTTCTTTATTCCTTGTTACTTTGAGCCAGATAAGCAGAAAAGGCAATCTTGGCAGTTTACACTTGTATAACCAGCTGGAGTTGTTCATAGACGTGCCAAGTATGCGGCAACTGCATTTCAAAGGGTTCGGTTTACCTCATGCTGTAATCTCACAAGTTAATACTTCTTTTCATTAAAAAAGTCGCAAACCTAGGCATGGAGGTACATCCCTGTAATCCTAGTATTTAGGCTGAGACAGGAGGTTCTTTATGAGTTCAAAACCAGCCTAGGGCATGTCATAAGACTCTGTCTCAAGGAAAAAAAAAAAAAAAAGGAATAATAAAAATAAATAGAACTCAATTTCTCTGGTTAAAAAAAAATAATAAACTAATTAAATAGCATTAGAAAGAAATGATCAGAGAATGGATGCAGTCAGATGTGACTGACATTTTATTAGTGATTGCTAAAGATAAACTATGGCACTAAAAATGCTCATGCTGTTTTATCACGGTGAGAAGAGTTCCTTTGTTTGAAACAGAACTTTGGATGTGTGATTGCCTTAAAACAACAGCTTGAGCTTTTGGTTATTTGTAGAATGCTGGAAAATATTGATTGGAATGCATCACGGTGATCAGTTTCTTACCATCTGTCCCCGGCGCTGCACGTTTGCCACAATAGCAGATAAGCACGGGGAATTACATTTTCAGCGCCTCCTCCCAAGTTCTTGTTTAAAAAGAAAACAGAAACTGTATATGGGCTGTAGAAGTGTGAAAACTGCTTTGCCTTTGTAATATTTCCACAACATATCATGAACAATTTGTTAGAAATAAAATACATATCCAAACATGACACAAGCCTGTAACCCCAACACTCAGGAGCTAAAATCAAGGCCAACCTGGTCTACATAGGGAGTCCAGGATAACCAGGACTATAGTTAGACCCTTTCACATCCTAACCTTAAGCCTTTCTACATTTGATATTAATAAGAATTTGGTATGGCAAGAACTGGCTTCTAGAAGTCCAGGTAACTGCTACTGCTAGGAATGAGGCATGGTCTTTGTTCCTGTTTTTTGTTCCTTTGCAACTTGGTTAGCTATGCTGAGACTATATTGATGAATATGTGCAGTCTTTCTCCTTTGAAGCAACATCAGTAATCTCTTGTTTTTTAAATTTTGCAGCTAGAAGATGAAGCTCTCAAGTACATAGGTGCACACTGTCCTGAGCTGGTGACTTTGAACTTGCAAACTTGCCTAGTAAGCATCCCTTCCCATAATGCTTCTGTAATAGTAATTCCTTCTCGTAACATTTTTATAAAAATTTCATCAAAAACGGTGGCTTACAGGCTTAGTGACACACACCTATAATCCCCAGACTGAACCCCAGTGCTGATTGGGGCAAGAGGATCATGAATTGAAGGCCAGCCTCTATGTAGCAGGTTCTAGACCAGATAAGACTACATAGTGAAACCCTGTTTGAAACAGGCATAATGACAAAACTGACACCTGCGATCCTGGCGTTTGAAAGTCTGAAGCAGGAGAATTGCCATGAATTCAAAGAAGCCTTAGTTGCCTACTGAGACCCACACGCTGTTTCTATATCCCTCATGGTCTGATTAGGTAGCCTAGGATGGCCTTGAACATAATAAGATCCTCTTGCCTCTCTCCTAATGTTTGGATACTGGTGTATGCCCATACACCCAACTCTGACGTTTTACTTAATTGTAACATTTTTAAATTTTCAAACTTACTTCAATTCAAAATTATTTAAAATACTGATTTATATCTGAATTAGACACATCTATTTAGTTAAATAAATTGTGATATTGTAAAAATATAAATAGACATGCTGTGGTGAGATTATATTATCCACAGTTTATTTTTATACTAAATCTTCAACTCTACTTATAAATATATTTATCCTGTTAAAAGACTACTGTCCTTACTGAGCATAGTGGTACTCAGGAGGCAGAGGCAGGTGGATCTCTGTGAGTTTATGGTCAGCCTGGTCTACAGAGCAAGTTCCAGGGCAGCCAGGGCTACACAGACAAACCCTGTCTCAAAAAAAATAAAAAAGAAAAAAACTGTTCTTATTCATTTTCTAAGTTTCAACATTTTTATTGCACCCTGACCATGACATGCCCCATGCTGTTCCCAGCACAGTTAGGTTCGGAAGATCCCAGTATAACTTTTCCCCTCCAGAGAGAAAAGTGAGCACAGCTGCAGCCTGTGTAGGAGGAGGAGAGGGAGCTTGGGCTTTGGGTGTTCAGTGGATGCTCGGGCCCGGGCTCTTAGTCCTGCTGCTTCCCGGAAGTGGTCTGTGTTGTTGCTTTTCTGTAAGTAATTCATGTTGATTTTTCCCAATTTTGTGTCTGTTTCAGCAAATCACAGATGAAGGTCTCATCACCATATGCAGAGGGTGTCATAAGTTGCAGTCCCTCTGTGCCTCTGGGTGCTCCAATATCACAGATGCCATCCTGAACGCTCTAGGTCAGAACTGCCCTCGGCTTAGGTAAACATTGTTTATTTAGCTCAAAAAAAAAAAAAAAATCAAGGGGAGAAGAAGCTGTCATCCATGTTTATCCTTGGAATTTTGAGACTTTAAGCTCAACTGCAGCTCCACCGCCCTTCTAGCTGACTACCTGCTTTGTACTGTGACAACATATAAACGGACATGAGTAAGAAGAGATCTTACAGGACTGGAGAGATGGGAGGTTAGGAGCGGTGACTGCTCTTTCAAAGGTTCGGAGTTCAATTCCCAGCGGCCATCTCTAATGAGATCTGGTGCCATCTTCTGGCCTGCAGGCACACATGCAGACTGAACATTGTATATGTAATAAATAAATCTTAGAGAGAGATCTTACTAGTCATAGTAGAAAAAAATACTTTCTTAAAATTCCTTTCTCCACTTTTTAAAATCTCATCCTGAAGTCATTTATGTCATTGTAATCTTCAGAAGAGAAGTTTTTTTTAACTTAGTTCTGCAGAACATCTTGTGTTTATTGCTGTTTGTTTGTTTGTTTGTTTGTTTGTTTGTTTTGAGGCAGGGTCTCTATGTAGCCCGGCTGGCCATGGAACTCAGTGTGTAGACCAGGCTGGCCTCACACTCAGATTTACCTGCCCATGCCTCCGGAGTGCTGGGATTAAAGGCATGTGCCACCCTGCTCAACATTTTGCTACTCCGTAGGCCTTTGCTGCTTGAATATGGGAGTGTCTGGACGTTCCCGCAGAATTTTCTGTTAGCGTGCACGTAGTATCAAAGCATAGTGACACTTGGGAAGAGCCTGTGTAATGCTGTTTTGTAGTGAGTGTGGACTGTCCCCATGTGACTTACAATGATAGGAATTGTTTTAGGTGCTTTACGAATACTGATTTTTATCATAAAGCACCATTTCTATCTTCATTTCATAAAAGAGGGAGCCGAGGTCCAAGGGGGTGAGGTGACCTGCTCCAAGTCCCATGGCCAGTAAGTCTTCGTGAGCAAGAGTTCTGAGACAGGCACCCTGGCACTCTCTTGCACAGAATACCAACTGTAAAGCAGCAGCTCTAAAGACCGTTTGTTAGTTTGGACTGACTACAGTGGCTGAAAGTGTGGAGGTTCTTCACCAGAAAGCCCACAGGCCGTCAGCCCAGAGATAGTTCTCGGGCAGCAAAAAAGTGGCCAGATCTCCAGGAGATAGTCAGTCTGTGTTAGCGCTCCCTTTAAAGCCAGGGCTCCAGCTGCAATTCCTGTGTGCTCCTATTGTGAGACTGTCAAGGCTCAGCTTTGATGGTCAGAGGCTGTCTTGTCAGACCATGTTCTCCCTATGGCCTTAATTTCTGGATATTTGATTATGATTTATTGTGTTTTTTTTTTTAAGAATTTATTTAATTTTATTTTCTGTGTATTGGTACAAAGTTATTAGAATCCCTAGAACTGAAGTTATAGACAGTTGTGAGCTGCCATGTGGATACTGGGAATTGAATCTGGGTCCTTTGGAAGAGCAGGCAGTGCTCTTAACCACTGAGCCATTTCTCCGGCCCCCGATTTATTGTGTTTTGACTTTACTTTTTAACTCTGGTTGTAAGGGTTTTAAGGAAATAATCTTTGGTGCCATCATATATAGCACAGCCCTAGATTGTACACAGACAGCAACTTTTGGTCTCCCAGTCTGGTGGGTGGTATGAGGTCAGAGGTTGGCAGTTGCTGAATAGTAGAATGATTGCCATCCTGGCTTCCTTCTGCATGCCCCAAGGGCCTGTGGGAAGCGACAGGCATCTTCCAGCCTAGGGTTTCGTATTGAGACAGTCCTGTAATCCAGCACTCCTCTTCTGCACAGACCCACATGAGAGACAGAAAATAGTTGCTTCAGCAGCATTTGAAACCCAGTATTTATCTCCATTTCCTTTGTTTTCTAGGAGCAGGATACCCTCTGTGGGTAAGCAGTATGCCATCAAGAAGGCTTTTAATGCAATTTAGCATTGACTATAATTCCTCTATATTTTTTGATTGCATCACCCTGAAATGTGGTATTGACAGACCACTTTATGATAACTATGTGAAAACAAACAGCAAGATCTGTGTACAAACTTGTGTAGTTATTAATGTCGCTCCATATTATGAGCTGATAGGGAATAAAAGGTTTCTTTCTGGAATTATTGCTGTTTTAATAAAACCAGGTTCAGAAACCAAGAACCTAACTTCCTTTTCACTTTGTTCTTTTAACAGAATATTAGAAGTGGCCAGATGTTCCCAGTTAACAGATGTGGGCTTCACTACCCTGGCCAGGGTAAGTGCTTCACTAGGTTCCTTAGTTGATTTTCATAGGTTGCTTTTGTGGGATTGGGGGTGTGCCCAGCGTATTTCAGAGGAAGCAGCAAAAAGAGAAACTTAGCATGGGGGAAAAAAAAAAGGTGTGAGACAGGGAGACCTGTGGCCAGCTGAGCCTCCTGGCCTGGTGCCTGCAGAAGCAGCAGGCAGCTTTGGAAGTGCAGACATTTGCTGGTGAGTGTGGTACTCCTTGGGGAGGTTTGAGTTCCCCACAGTTTCATTAAGATAGCGAATTACACCAAGCCGGATACAATGGCTTACACTTGTAATCCCAGTACTTGGGAGACAGAGACAAGTGAATCTCTGTGAGTTCAGAGCCAGCCTGGTCTGCAAAGTGAGTCCAGGACAGCCAAGACTACACAGAGAAACCTTATCTCAAAAAAAGTATTTAGTATGTGACTGAGCAAAAGAAATGTTCAGAGAGATGCAGGCCTGGTTAATAATGGGCTGGAGAGATGGCTCAGCGGTTAAGAGCACTGACTACTCTTCCAGAGGTCCTGAGTTCAATTCCCAGGACCCACATGGTGGCTCAAGACCATCTGTAATGGAATCTGATTTCCTCTTCTGGTGTTCTGGTGTGTGTGAAATCAGAGCGTTCATATACATAAAATAAATCTTAAAAAAAAAAAAAAAGCAGTTTACTTAAAAAAATAATAATGTACCAGCCATAACAGACTTTCATATTTCTAGCTGTTTTTAATACTTCCAGTGGTTTATATAAATCACTGTAGAATAACAGCATTTTCTTTCCTTTTTTTGAGACAGGGTTTCTCTGTGTAGCCCTTGTTGTCCTAAACTTCATCTGTAGATCAAGCTGGCTTCAAACTCAGAGATCAGCCTGGCTCAGTAACAACATTTTAAATTATATTGACTCTGGCAAGTATTAAAGAATATAAAGGGAATATAATTTACTTTCAGGCTGATCCATGAAGGACTAACAAGGTGAAGGCCGGCATACCCAACTAAAAGAGGGAATAAAACATTCTCTGTTCCAAAATCACAATTTTTATTGAATTCTTTTCCAGTTAAAAAGATCTTTGCTTTATCCTAGAATTAATTTTTAGCAAAATTCCTCTTTGGATTTATAGAATGTTCAATGTGTAAGTGTGAAATTACTGAGAATCATTACAGCGACCAAAGCCTTTTTAAATATATGACTAAATCCCAGGGATGACATTTATAATCATTCTCAGCCCTTGGGAAGCTGAGGCAGGTGGATTATGGGTGTGAAGACAGCCTGGGCCACAGAGCAAGACCCTATTTCAAAAAACAAAAAGTCTCCTAGAAAGGAGCACTGGGCTAACAGCAATTCTGAAACGTCATGACTTGACCAAGTGTGTTTAATGCGGTCTCTTAGGGGTTTTGTGTTTTGTTTTGTTTTGTTTTTTTTTTTGGGGGGGGGGTTTGCTTTTGTAATTTACCAGTGTTTTGGAAGTTTGTACTGAATTCTGTGGCGTTACCCTTCGTAGAATTGCCATGAGCTTGAGAAGATGGACCTGGAGGAGTGTGTTCAGGTAAGACTGTTTCATTGACAGAGAGTTTGTGACAGAAACGCCATGCATGTTGCAGAATGCGCAAGCCTCGCTGTGTAGAGCGTCCAAGCACCTGGCGGTGGCCCTGTCTTCCACTCGGGTGTCTTCCAGGCTCGCCAGGGAGTGGTGTTTGCAGAAGAAAATCATTGGCTGGACACTGCGTAGCAGCTCCTATTTGCTGTTAAATTGTTACCTGCCCATCTCTTCACTTGTTGCTCGTGCCCTGGTGCGCTCTGTGGTCTTTGTAGTGTGAGTCCCCCTGAGCCAGTAGTCTGCCCTCTACACTGTCTTCAGAGCCTCTCAAGCCGTGTGTAACAGAAATAAAGGTTGGAGAGGAGTGTGTGACAAAGATCACTCTGAAAGACCAGTGCCCTCCTGTTCCGTTCATATGCCACCAAGGCTACAGAAGTGACTCCAGTTGCCCTATATGGTGGTATACCGTGTGGGTTGCCAGATACCTAGAATTTTAAGGGTGCTTTGATGTTAGTTTCTTCGTGGCCCACATACTCTGACTTGTGCTTCTACTGAATTTTGAATAAAGATGAAGGTTAGTCCTGGGGGTGATTGAGCATCATCTCTTGTTTTCTTATCAGCTGGAGTAGCTTGTGGGACTTCAAGCCTAAGAGCCTGTTACTCAATGGTACCTGAACTAGAAATATAGTTGCATAGAGTATAATTTGTAAATTGCATCTAAATTGATAAAATTTTGCCTACAACAAATTTACTTGTTTTTTTAGATCACAGATAGCACATTAATCCAGCTTTCTATACACTGTCCTCGACTTCAAGTATTGGTGAGTTTGACTTTCACTGTTTTGCTTTTAAGTTTATTCATTAAAAAAATTAGGTTGATTTATTTTACTTTTTGTGTATATTTGTGTATTTTTTGCGTGCACACGTGAATGTGCACCATTTGTGTTTGTCCCTATTGGATCCCCTGGAACTGGAGTTATGGGTGGCCATAAGCCATGTGGGTGCTGGGGATAGAATCCAAGCTCTCTTTCATCTGTGTGTGTGTGTGTGTGTGTGTGTCTGTGTGTGTGGACACGTGGGCAGAAGAGAACTTTCTGTAGTTAATTTCCTCCTGTCACCTCTGTGGGTTCTGGGGAACAAACTCAGGTCACCAAGCTTGGAGGCAAATTCTTTTACCCACTGAGCCATCGCCCTGTCCCCAACTTAAGAGTGTTTTATGTGTCATTGTTTATGGCTTACTATATCTAAGACATTGCTAACCAGGTGTGATCGTACCCGCCTGTAATCCCAGGACTCAAGAGTATAACCTGGAGTTTGAGGCCAGCCTGGATCATATAGATTGTGCGTTTGCGGAATGAGGATCAACTGGTGTTTTGTAGGACAAGTTCCTCAGGCTCCAGCTTTGGGTGACTCTATAGACAGTGTTTTGGTTGATGGTTCTCTGTCTAGAACAGAACGTGAACACTTTGATGTTTGGTGGCTCAGTACTATGCAAAACTGGGTCGCGTGTTCTGAGTTCCCGGAACTAAGGTGTAAGGAATATTGGTCAGATTGTCTGTCTTCGAGACACTAATACCTGATAGCTGTAAAAATCATCCTAGCTAATGGGCGATTTGGTCCTGAATCAGATACTCAACTTTAGTTCCAATTTTCTAAAACTCTGGATATGAAAAGCTTGAGCCCTATTTTTGCCTTAGATAAGAAAAGTGCTAATTTGGGGAATGGTTTTTTGTTTTGTTTTGTTTTTTATCTCAGCGACATGATCCCACTATGTAGCTCTGGCTCTCCAGACCTTGCTATGTAGGCCTTGAACTCACAAAAATTTCTCCTGCCTCTGCTGGAATTAAAGGGGTATGTCACTGTAACTTCTGGGGGTGGGTAAAATTTAAGGCTGTCTTTCTGAAATAGTTCACAGTCATTTATGAATTCACAAAATAAATTTGGAATTCTACAAAAAAAATGTCAGTCACAGATGCTGAAAGCAGAAGGCCGTCAACTTTGGTTTGCATTGTTTCATCATGAATCACTCAAGATGGCTTTGTATTTAGCAAGATCAACCAGAAAGGTCTTCGCTCAGATTTGACATAAGAGGAATGCCGGAAGCCACTTGGTTGTCCATCTTTGCTGTCTTTGGTTTCAGAGTCTTTCTCACTGTGAGCTCATCACAGATGATGGGATTCGTCACCTAGGGAACGGGGCCTGCGCCCATGACCAGCTGGAGGTGATTGAGCTGGACAACTGCCCCCTAATCACCGATGCGTCCCTGGAGCACTTGAAGAGCTGTCACAGCCTGGAGCGGATAGAACTCTATGACTGCCAGCAGATCACGCGGGCTGGGATCAAGAGGCTCAGGGTAAGGCCGCACCCCGCCAGCCCTGCCTTCCTGTCTCTCCTTTTATTCCGTTCTGTCTCACCTCTTCTGTTCTTTTTTCCAGATTTCAGTTCTCACGATTTCTCTGTTTTAATTTACGTGGCTATTTAGCTATTTGATCCATTGTTCGGGTCAAGTAACAATTTTCCCTTTTACTTAGCTCTTGATAGGTGTCTAAAGATAATGAGGTCCTAAAGATAGGATCCCCATCTTTGTAACCTCTCACTTAACAAGGAACATGCTGCATTAAAGTGTCCAGACAAAGAGTAGGAACGTGTTTTAGTTCAAAAAAGTAATTATTTTAAACTTGTCTAGCTTCTTCCAGCTATGGGATTCCAGTTGGGAATCCCTCCATAGAACAGATTAGAACCTGGGCCTCTACACATCCCAGGTGCTGAGCACCTTGGCTCTGCTCTCCCATCATTTAACCACCCCACCCCCGCGCTTTCTCAGAGAAGCAGTGCCGCTCTTTCTATGTAAGCGCATTCTTAGTAATGTTTCTGTCTTGTTTCAGACCCATTTGCCCAATATTAAAGTCCACGCCTACTTCGCACCTGTCACTCCACCCCCGTCAGTAGGGGGCAGCAGACAGCGCTTCTGCAGATGCTGCATCATCCTATGACAGTGGAGGTGGCCGCCGGTGAACTGAGTATTTAATGACACTTCTAGACTTGCCGTGGAGTCTCTCCAGTGGAAGCGACCCCAGCATTCTGGGCAGTGGTTACAAAGCGAGGGCAGCGCCCAGATCCCCAGAGCCACACATACACAGGCACACACACGCCCTCACCCCCATTCGCTGTAGATCTGTGACCGTGGCACTGAAGTTCATATCAGCTGTAACAAGTGGATTGGTAAAACTTAACCATTCCTGTTGGACATGCCCAGAAGAAATCATACGCCATGGTTGAGGGAAGGGACATTCCAGCAAAACCCAGTGTTTCTGCTACTGTGGTTTCCTTACTTATTAAGCGGTTTTTGTGGGGATTTGAGACAGTAACTGCAGTCCTCCGGGGTGAATGGTAGCATGGAAAAACAATGTATGATGTATCCAGGGACCAGAAAGAAAATTTCTTCGCATCCTAGAAATGGTAGCCATCCATTGGGAGATGCCTACACAATTTCTGTGCTTCCTTGTTTCCATGCCAACAGCCTGAGCATGCTCACAGAGAACGTTTGTCCATTCATCTGGTGTTTTAGTATTTGGCCCAGGGGTTTTCTTAGCGGCTGCATTGAAATCACTGGGGTCCGAATACGATGGTTCTTACTTGTCTGCTCAGCTTGTCACTGTGTGTCACTGTGCACTGTCTTCCATTCTCTTGCTCACTACTGCACTCTCGTTGAGTCTGTCCCTGGTCGTCGTCTGCTGCTCACGCTCAGTTGTTACTCCTCTGCTGTTGTGTTTACAGTTTGAATTTTGGATGATTAGTTGGGGTTACCAAACATTTTTAAAAGAAGCATCAATAAATATTTTTTTAATCTAAATTTTACCATTAGGGGACCCTGCCTGAATCTTTGCCAGTCTGGAAGGAAATGTTAACAAAAGCAGGGAAGTTATGATAAGATAGTTGAACTCTTTGGATGAAAAACGAAAACAAAAAACCTTGGCCTTTTGGTTTCTGTCGTGTCTTATGCCCGTTTGCACGGCGTGCACAGTGCGCCCTGCACAGCCCTTTTTTCCAGTTCCCTGAGCTTTACTAAGAGGAGAAGTGGGTACACCATTAGTGTGTAGTGGGTGACGAATCCCCACTGAGCCGGGATGTCGTCCCCACCCAAGCTCGAGCACGGCTGTGTTCTCTGCCCGTGTCTGAAGTTGCTTGACCTACTTGCTCTGCGGCAGTTAGTGTCTCCAGCCCCTCCCACATTCAGGCCCATCGGGGACAGAGAGGAGCTTGCGGTGGCTGACTGCCTGCGTGTTGACAGGGTTATAGTGTTGGCGCTTCACAAGACCTGAGCACGTCAGCCGTCTCTCTGCAGACTTCCTCTGAATGGGATATGAAGGCAGCCAGGTAGGGGCGTTGGGGCAGCCAGAGAGCCCGGGGAGGGAGCAGCGGCTCAGCATCTATACCAAGCCTGCACACCTGACACAGCTGAGGGAACGGGTGCAGTACTGTGGCTTAGTCAAGAAAAGGCCTCTTCAGAGAAACTCACAGAAAATGAGAGAAATTAAATGAGTTTCTAACGCATATTCCTAAACCCCAATGGTAGAAGCCTTGTGTAATATTTATTAGGGTTGTGGGGTGAAGGAGCTTTTAGAACGTGGATGTGCAAGCCTATGATCCCAGGTTGTTAAAAGGGCTGTTTTAATGCTATAGGTACAGGTTCTGCCAGAATATGTAAGAATATAGTCTGATTTATTTCTCCATTAATGTAGAAAACAATCAGATGAAAAGGTCCTAGAATTCTATATTACCAGATTTATTTATCGTATTAAACTTATTTAAAATCTTATTTTATTATGCTCTTTTGAAAGCTAAATTACTTGTATTTTTTATTCATTCTCCCCTTTATGTTCACATTTCCTTGCAAGAAATTCCTTTTCCTCTGAGACTGTGTTGTTATGTTGCTCAGCTGACTCTCTCCGGCACCTGGCCCCCAGTTACCCTCCCCCTCAGCCAGCATCCTGAGTGAAGGGGACTGCGGTGGCTAATGCTGCTTTACATGGCAGAATGTGTGCGGTCACGCACCCCAAACAGAGGCTTGCTCTGTAGCCCTGGCTGGCCTGGGACTTGGCGTTGTCTTTCTGCCTCACCCTTCCAAGCAATGAGCCACCCTACCAAACAAGTTAGACTTAATGAACACACACACATATCCACACTTCTAAGTGTATTTAGACTTAGATCCCTGGGTCTTTCAGACAAAACCAAGAGAAAACTAGGGTCTGTCAGCTCCAAACGATGCTGTTTGATTTTCTCCCCCAAGTGCCTAACAAGCTGACAGTAAAACCTGAATACTAATTAGTGAACATAGATTTGAATTGCCCTAGTCCTGAGTCATTCAAGTACTTCTGTTTTCCAAGAAAGTTTGAATGAATCTCTTACTCACCAGTATGTCAGTCGTCTTAAAAACGCCACTGTCTTCTTCCTCAGAGTGTATTGCCACAGGCACAATCATTGGATTTATCTTGGTGACCCCTGCTGGTCAGGCAAATTCTGACCTTTCTGGGCCAAGATCACAAGTCAGAAGGAGGCCTGCGTAGTGTTCAACCCTACAGTCAGGCATGAGATAGCTTTTCTCAAGTAAACTAAGGCCACCATGCTTGGGAGGAAAACAGGTGATTTTTCTCATGTTGAGGAACATTTCTAAGGATTCAGAAAGGTCTTGGTTTGGTTGGTTGGGTTTGTTTTTAGGGCTGTGGATGGAACCTGGGGTCTTTGGATGCATTAAGCAAGTGCTCTACCACCAACCTGTGTCTCCAGCCCTCATAAAGCTTAGCATGAAAACTTCCCCTTTGAAAAAGCCTATTGAGAGCTGCCAAGATTACTCTGAAGGTAAAAGCACATGCCATGTAATCCTAGTAGAGTCTGACCTCCAGAACCCACCTAAAAGATCTCCTGATGGGAGGGGAAACATTAGAATAGACCAGAATCTTGCGGGCAGCCATCCCGGAGCACATAGCACTGGCCTTACCAAGGTTGGAAGGACAGAATGACTCCAGAAAGTTGTCCTCTGACCTCCATACAAGGTGCGGCATATGTGTAATTAGGAAGAAAATTAAAACACTGGGAGCCAGGTATAGTGTTTTGTGCCTGTAATCTCAACACAGAAGATGTAGAGGCAGGAAGATTGCTGCAAGTATGAGGTTAGGATACACAGCAGGGGACTGTCGTAGGGGGAGCCTGTTGGTCTGCTTGTCTAATTTTACACCCACTCCAAATACACCTTTCTACAGCAGGGGGAGAAAGTGTACCACAATATAGATCTAGAGCGAGACAGAGCCAGTTGAGATGGTCCCTACAGTCTCAGGTCTGAGATGAAGAGGCTCTTGAGTTTGAAGTCAGCCTCATGACTATACAGCCAGCCAAGTAAGAAGAGTACGTCACCCTCAAGGATCTTGTCCCAAGCCTCCGGGTGGCCAGGAGAGGTTCCTGGAATATGTCTGGGGACAGTGCTTGAGCATACAGGTAATCTCATTTGTAGGCAGCCCTCCCCTGTCTGTCACCCACCGCCGTTAGCTGCGGCATCGTTATTACCCCTCCAGGGGTGGTTACCGACAGCCCCTGTTCTCCTGGCGTACACCCTGTATTTATAGCGCTATCTCGTCGTTGGGCATGTACAGTCCAGCGGCTTTGGACTCCTTTCCCTGGTCCCAGCAAGCTGTTCAGTGTGCAGCAATTGGAAGTGGCTCTGGTCACTTGTTAGTTGATGGTCCTTGAAGTTTGGGGGTTGGCTTTGGCTTTGAGTTGAATTAGAAGCCGAGTTGATGGCTGTAAGGAGTGAGGGGACCTAACTTCCATCTTCCCTCCGGTATTTGGGATATGAAGGCTGCTTAGCGGTTTGCTTCCTTTTGGTAAACGTATTTTACTGCTCCTACTCTCACCTCTACAGCTTTTCTGGATACAAAAGTATCCCTCAAATCATTCTGTAAATTTCTGGTCCGATTTCTGTGTCTGCTGGATTGACTTAGCAGACCCGTAAGTCAGAAACGGAGTTTTAAGCAGTTTCCAAGGAAAGTTGGTGAGGAGCTTACCATGCTATGTTTGGCGTATTCTGTGCTATTGGGGATGTTTGTGGTAGCTGTGAGCCACTAAAGCCCATTTGATTTTTTTTTTTTTTTTTTTTTCAGTTGTCTGTAAAATGTGTTTGGAGCATGTCTTGACCTGACAGTTAGGAAGTGTGACTTGTCACTGGAAAGGCGAGAGTGACTTCCTGCCTGACCGTGGGCAGCCTCTTAGGTGACAGTGTTGAGACTTGAAGTCCTCAGATCATGACTGATCTTGGCTGTTGAGGTGGCTCAGCCCATAAGGCTATTGGCCGGACAAGTCCAACAACCTGAGTTGTGACGGTGAAAGGCCAGAACTGACTGCCAGAAGTAGTTCTCTGGCTTCCTGTGCACGCCGCACATGCAGGCACACGTGCGCACGCGGACACACTACGGTAATAAAAGATTATTAAAAGTAAGGTTTGTTGCTTTTAAGATCAGGCAGCTCACCTCGTCATCAGTGAGTGGGTGGGCATGGAAAGAGCCTGTTGGACCTTTTCCATGTCATACAGGTGGGTTTCTGTTCTGTGGTTCCTGCTGACAGACCAGGGGATAAGTCCAGCCTTGAGAAGAGCTTGGAGGTCTTGAAGCAGAAACCCTTATATGACCTGGGGACAAAAAATTCTAATCCTAAGGATGAGTGGGTGTGGGTTTCTCAGACTTGCTCACCTTTATTTTCATCTTAGATCTGCATCGGAAGATGCAGAAAGTGTATCGATAGGATGTGATTAGCCCTGCTGATTTGAGAATAAAATTTGGCTGTAAATGCTATATCCAAATGTCCTGGCTTCACACCTTCATTCTCCAGCAAAGAATATAAGCTATTTAAGCACCGGCTGCTGTGATCCTGCCTTCTTTCTTTTACCTACCAGAAACTGCCCTAGGAGGCGGGCAGGTTTTTTTATGCGAAGGGCTTCTGCAGCTTCCCATTAGAGCCAGATCTACCCACCTTGTCCACTGTGATTTCTCAGCACATCATTTCTGCATCTCTGGAGGCTTTGATCCCTAGGCTTTTAGTCATAAGCCTCTTTGGAGTCTGAATGAATCTTGTGGGTTCAAGAAAGTATAATATCCAAGAGCAAAAAAGCTTTCGTTATGCAAATCTGACATGGAATGTTGGAGAAAAATACACCTGCAATTCTTAGATCTCTGCCATATGGGTGTTTGGTCTAAGGTTTTGTGGCGTTGAGTTTACAAAAGCATGTTGGAGCTTCTCAGCCAGGGTGGCTTGTAGAACAAGACCCACGAGCAAGCAGAAACACAGTGACCCCTTCTCCTGTGTTCTCCCAAGAGTTGGCGTGGAGGAAGGATAGGCCAGGCCAGAACCGGGATGCTTTGCCTCAGGAAGAGCATCTGTCCCGAGCTCAGGACTGTCACTTCCCAGATGACACGTTTACTGTTCATCTCATCCACATCACACCCCATTCTCGGCAAGAATGGCTTCCTTGCTGCTTCTGGGCACAGCATTAGTACCAGGACAGGAGTGTGAGACAGGGGACAAGTCTCTCCCCTAGGAAAAGGTAATGGGAGACAGGTGTCTTCTGTCAGATCCCGAGAACCATGAGATCCGAGATCTTTGAAGTTAACATCCTTTTTGCTCCACTTACTGTTAAGTGGGATCTGACCCCACATTGCTGCTCACACGTGTTTCTTGAACTTGGCTCCTGAAAACATTGATCCACTCAGTTTCCATGGCGCTGGAGAATGGGGACCTCTAGAGTCTTAGGAAATCAACTTGAAGTCAACTGTGAGTGCTATGGCTCATTAGTTAGCTCACAACAACCCCACTCCCACCCCCCATGCTGCAGCAGGGCTTCTGTATGTGGAACCTTGCTGCTTTCAGGGTTTGCATAGGAAGGTTTGCCCCTTGTCAGGATCGTCTCTTCCACACTGCTGACGACTGTTAATTTCTAACAAGTACATGAATTGGTGAGTCTGGTTTCTCCCTTACCACGCTCACACATGGCATACCAACTCCTAGATCCTATTGTCACGTGTCCCCGAATCTTTAAGCCAGCTCTTTCTCCCTGTGATCTGACCCCAAGAGTCAGTGATCACCCACCCAAAAGGTATCTGGAAGAGGCTCCAGCTTACGTTCTGCGTCCCTGTTTTATCCACTCTGGCTGCCTCCTTTCCTCCCAGGAATCGTTTCCAGTTACTATTTCCTGGTGGCTCTTGTTTACCGCCGCCCACCTTCCAGCGACCCTGAGAGCACAGACCTGGGTGATGTGGCCTGTGCAGCGCTCAGAGCACCGTGGGGACCCCTTCCTGTCAGGCTGCTCTGCAGGGACAGAGATGGATTGGTACCTGGTGCTGTCTGCAGAACTCTCTTCCTCGCCCCTGCACCCCCACAACTGCCGACTCGGGCGGGTGTGAGCCCTGTGCCCTGGCTGCTAGGGCTGACCCGGACTGTGTGGCATGGGGGCCGCTGCTTGCTTGTTTCTCACCAGGCCTGCGCCAACACCTCCCCAGGCCTCTCACTGTTCCCCAGTGGGGACGTAACACCACGTTCCATTAGCTGAGTGACTGTATGCGCACCTCGTACTCCCAGCATCCAAGGGTGTGGGGGTGAGGAGAGTTGTTTTAAATAAATAAAATTCAAGGAGGCAGTAGACGATTCTTTTTGCTTTAAAATCTTTGGACTAAAGATATGTTTTTATATATATAAATATATAAAGTAAATTGTTATGTAACTATTATTGTTTCCTGTATGTTCTAATTTTGTTTTATGATGTAATTAAAGAAAATAAGCTGTGAAGACTTTTTATTTTCCTGTGGAAACAGCCTGACTCGAAGCTGTGATTCCTAAATGTGGATCCTAGAACTGCAAAGGCTCTTGGGGGTTCAATGGACTTCTGCGGCACATTGTTGCTTTCCACAGTGTTTACCCTCTTTACTTAAATCTCATCACTTCACTCTAGAACTTTATTCAGTGCTCTTCCGATGACTTTTATGTAATGCCCCAGCTCCACCAGAGCTGAAGGGACATAAAGGACATGGTATAAGTCACAGCTGCCTTAACTAGTCACCCAGAGGGCTGGCAGGTGGCTCAGCAGGTAAGAGCTCTCGCTACCCTTGGAAAGGACCAGGGATCAACTCCCACACCCACATAGTGGCTCACAACTGCCCGTAACTCTTGTTCCCAGGAGAATCAGATGCCCTCTTCGGGCCTCCATGGGCACCATGTGCGTGCCTTGATATGGATGGTTGTCAGCCAGGTGTGGTTGCTAGAAACTGGTGTGGGTCCTCTGCAGAAGCAGCAAGTGCTCAAAACCTCTGAGCCGTCTCTCCAGCTCCACCCACCCCACCCCCCTTTTGACAGTCTTACTATGTAGCTTCAACTGGTTTGGAACTTCATATGTGGATCAGGCTGGCTGCAAATTCAAAAGATAATGCTCACCTCTGCCTCCTGAGTTATGAGATTGAAGCGTATGCCACCGTGCCTGGCCTTAATAAATCTCCCTCCCTCTTTCCTCCCCCTCTGTTCCCCTCTCTCTCTCTGCTGGAACTCACTCTGGGATTAAAAGTGTGTATCACCACTGCCCAGCTTAAGTTCCCTTTTTTAAGTAGGAACCTGAAGTCTTTAAGTTGGAATCCCAGCGGTGGGATTCTCGTCAGCGCGCTTGTGTAAGCCTGGGTTCGATCCCAGAACTGCCCCCTGCAAGAGAGTGCCTTGACCTGAATCCTTGGTTCCTGTGCAGGCTTTACTTCCCCTTGCTGGGGAAGAGGAGAGTTAGATGGCATGAGTGCAGAGTTGCAGCCATATCCAGCCTGTGCTAAAGATCTAAGGAACACAGTTAAGTATAGCAGATCCCTGTCACTTTGGCAGAGGTGAGTGAGTCAAATTGGCTCATGACTTGCCATGGTGATGTCTTCCCAACACTTGGAAGGTGGAGGTGGTTAGTATCCCAAGGCCGACCTGAGTTATACCTGAGCTGTCTTTTAAAAAGGGGTGGGGGGGCTAGAGAGATGTCTCAGGAGGACTTGCTGCTCTTGGCAGAGGACCCGGGTTTGGGTCCCAGGACTGCCGTCAAGTAGCCCACAGACACCTGTGGCTTCAGTCCCGCCAGATCAGACGCCCTGCTCCTGGCCTCTGCTGATAGTATGTGATCCGCACATGCGTGCAAGGACTCACACGCAAGGCAAATTCGATCTTTAAAAAGCAAAACGGGGGCTGGAGAGATGGCTCAGTGGTTAAGAGCACTGTCTGCTCTTCCAAAGGACCCAGGTTCAATTCCTAGCACCCACATGGCAGGTCACAACTGTAATGCCTAATCCCCAATTCCAAGGGATCTGACATCTTCACACTAATGCACATAAAATTAAGTAAGTTATTATATATATATATATATATATATTTTTTTTTTTTTTTTTTTTTAAAGCAAAACAGGTTCAAGTGGAGGCAGGAGAATCAGGAGTTCAAGGTCATCCTTGGCTATGTGACAAGTTTGGGCTACTTGATAGCCTGTTTCAGACCAAAAAAGGGGGGTTCAGCACAGAGTAGGCAGAGCACTTGCCCAGCACATGAAAGACACTTGATTAAATAAACACCCGTTCCGTGAAAAACCCTTGAGACCTATGAAATCAGAAATTCCATTTGCCATCCGCACCGCGCACACGCAGACTTCTAAAGGCGATTTCTTGTTATGTATCCTGGGTGAGTCTCAAAATGAAATCCTCGTGACTCGGCCTGCTGACTGCTGGAATTACAGGTGTGTGACATCTCTTTATGCTGCATAGATTGCAGATGAGGTTTGGGTTAAGTCATCTGTGGGCCGTACAGCCCCTGTGAGGGAGGCAAACGGGTGTCCGCCTGGCTGCCTGTTAACTCATCCCCTAACTTTCTGAAGGAGACGCCGCCCGAGTCACAAGATAGGCAAGCTTCCCTTCCCCTCTGTCGGTCCAGCCAGGATTCACTTGCCTTCCCACCTACTATGCCTTGCCAGAGCCCATCAGGTTTCAGATTCAACAAGGGAGTGAATATGAACCAAGAAAATGTCATAATGAGAACCATTATTTTGAGCCCCCCCCCCCAAAAAAAAAAATGTTTTGGAGGATGGGTGGGGGTGAAGGGGCCTGCCTCCAGTCCTGCCAACCTGAGTTCCACGGTGGAAGCAGAGAACCAGCTCACATAAGTTGTCCTCTGACCTCCACACATGCCGTGCACACGGCGTGTGCACGCCCAACACACTCACTGAAAACACTGAGTGTAGCTCAGTGGAAGATCATCTCTTTGGCTGTCTTCAGTCTACGGAACTGCAAAGAGAAAGACGCATAGGAAGTTCTATTTATGGCTTTAATGTGGGCAAAGATTGCTTAAGGCTTGACTTAAAGGGTTTAACAACTTCTGTTTTACTCAAGGCAGGTGCTAACAGGGTGTCAGCGGTTGCGTGTGCAAAGCCTGGGTCTGATCAGCAGCCCTGCCTTAGAGTCTCAGTGCTAGGAAACAGCCGTGTTAGTCCCCAAGTCTCTGGAGCTAGCTTTAAGTTGACCCAAGAGATCCGAACGTCGAGTCATCTTTTGGAGGCTGTAGTGGTTGGGTTTTGCCCAAGCCAGCTGGGTAGAGGGGTGGGAATCCAGCCAGAAAGATTTTTACCCTAGGCCACATCCCCAATAAAGCTGAATGTTTCTGTCTTTCAAAAGTTAACTGTTTGGACTGGAGAGATGGCTCAGCAATTAAGAGCACTGGCTGTTCTTACCGAGGACACAGGTTCAGTTCCCAGCACCCACATGGTGGCTCGCAGCTGTCAGTAACTGATTCATGGGATCTGACAGCTGGTCTCCCCTGGCACCAGGCATGCAGGTAGGGCACGGACGAGCATACAGGCAAAAGGTTTTTTTTTTTTTTTAATCTTTAAAAGTTACTTTTTATGGGTTTTTTTTTTTTTTTTTGTTTTGTTTTTGTTTTTGTTTTTTTTTTTGAGGCAGTTTCTGCTATATAGCTTCGGCTGCCCTGGAACTCACTACATAGAACAAGCTGGCCTGGAATTCGTAGAGACTCTCCTGACCTCTGCCTCCCTAGTGCTGGGGTTTAAAAGCTTGCACCACCACACCCAACTAAAATGTTAATTTTTTTTTAAATATATATACAGGGTTTCTCTGTGTAGCCCTGGCTGTCCTGGAATCACTTTGTAGACCAGGCTGGCCTTGAACTCACAGAGATCCACCTGCCTCTGCCTCCCTGAGTGCTGGGATCACAGGTGCGAGCCACCTGCCACGTGGCAGTACTAAAAAGTGTTAATTTTCATTTAAAACTTTATTTAAATTAAGGAGTAAGTCAAATGTGTAGTTACCACAGTACTGAGCAACCCACACCCCTCCTGTGAAATGTTCTTGGTCTGTGTTGCCAGGGGTTTATCACCTCTTCAGCTTGGACAGCCCAGAGGGAGTGGTATGGGAGGCCTTGTCTCTGGTTCAGCAGCTTCTCCTGTGTGGAGGGCAAAAGGAACCCAGAGACTCTATGACTTCTCCAGGATCGAGGCACAGTGCTCTGACTCAGAACCCGGCACCAGGGGGGTCAGCCGGGCATCTTAACAGGGCTTCCGGGCACACAGCAAGCCGTCAGTCCTGGATTCAGGTTGGAATCCAGTACCAGTCATCCGAATTCTGCACTAAGAATAGCGTTGCACCGTCCACGCTGCCAAGGATCCTGATGCCCTCCACAACCACATGTTCCTGCAGACTCACCCCAGAGCCACCTCTCCCTGACCTCGTCTGTGCACTGCTGGCCCAGCAGGAGGGATCTTCCTAGCCAGGCCCCTGAGAGCCTGTGTCATGGAGGGGGCAAGCCGCCCTGTGTGCTAAATAGCCTGTTACACTCCTCTAGGCCAAACACTCCTCTTCCTCTAAAACCTGCTCATTTTGTTCTTGAAACAGTCTCACTGTGCAGCACAGGCTGGCCTTGAGCTCAGACTCCTTCAGTCCTACTCTGCCTCCTGAGTCCTGGTATCCAGGTGTGCGCTGGATTCAGCCCAGCTGAAGGGCCACTTTTCTTTACCACAGCCACAGAGTAAGAGTCATCGTTTAGGTTCGGGAACACCTAAAAGAGCAAAGAGGCAGGGAGACACGTAATATTTCGAAGCCAAATGGAGTCCAAGTAAGAGAAAGAAAGTTGGGCCTGAGTCGAGAGGGATCAGGGCCTCCCTGGGGACATGTAGCTGCCACCTGCCCTCATACCTGCTTGCTGAGAACAAGGATGCCCCTAGGGCCCTAGTCAAGAAGGTGGCGAGTCTGATTGGCTGGGAGGGCCAGGCGCTCAGCCAATTTTCCAATCAGTTCTACAGCACTGAATTCAGAGAGACCTCTTGATAGAAGCCTGGGGGATGGGCAGCACAAGGGGGAGGCCAGGATGGCTGTCCCTGGGGGAAGGAGGTGTCAAGGTGACTACCTTGTGGAGCAAGGGGAAGGTAAAAGGATAAATGTGAAGAACAGTAGCAACGTTAATGGCAAGCCCCTAGTTTAATGGGGATTTCCGCTATGAACGGCACAGTAAGATGATGCTTTTCTCATCTCACTAACAGAACGGCAATCAGAAAGGAGTGGGGAGGTCTGTCACAGTGGAACGAACCACAGAGACATTCTGGGAGGATGGAGGACCCAAGGAGATGGATGGAGGAGGGGCAACTTGGCGCCAGAAAGGGCAGGTCATCCCGCGCCTTCCAGCCCAGAGGAGGTTGGCAGTCTTGCCTGAATGTCTTCCGTAGAGATGAAGATGAAGACCTCACCTAGGCTGGGAGTCTTCGGAGGCTGGTCTCTTGT